TTGTATTGTTTTGGATTTGCTACTCAAATCAGATCTCTGTCAGTTCGCTTCAATAATCCTGTGATGTAGGCAGAATTAATGTATTCTGCAACCAGAAAGGACAAGAGAGGAGATCCTAAGCCTGCCTGCTAACTGCCATAAAACAGGATACAGTAAGGATTCAAGGCGGACCTCAGTCCTACATATGAAGTCTGTGATAGCAGTGTGAAAATAAACTCTATTCCTGTGTAGCTGTGCTCATGGATAGTGCAGGTGAATATAGGCTGAAGTAGTTAAAGAGAATTGAGGGTGACATCCAGGTCAGGCTCCAGGAGGCCTGCTGGGAAGAAACAGATATGACATATGAGCATGTGTGAGGTGCTGCTAGCAGAGAGTTTGATGGATGTGGCAACCTGAGTTAGACATCCTGGCTTTAGCCCAGATTGCAGGAATTATTTAAGTGTAGTAGAGAATGTAAATATGTAAGTAGAAGAAATCTGTAAGTTATTTAACGCTTTTTTTTTTAAAAAAAAATATCAGCTGTGGAGCTAAATTGGATCAAAAGCAAACTAAAGCAGCTCTTGTAATTTTATGTTCAAGAATAAGATTTTTCCTCCCAATAAATAAAAGTGCCTCAGAGTGCATATTTAAAATAGTGCAACACCAGCACAGCTCGAATTTATTTAGACTGACTCTCGGGTTATGCTGAGCAAGTAGGGGGCAGAAAAAGACAGAAAAGGGGGAAAGGGAGGGAGGAAAAGTGAAGCAGTGTGGAAGCTAAAGTACATGTCTCATTTTCTTTTTTCTCCCCAGATGTAGACACCACCAAGGACCCTTGTCAAAAGGTTAAGTGCAGCCGACACAAGGTGTGTATCGCCCAGGGCTACCAGAGAGCTGTGTGCGTCAACCGCAAGAAACTTGAACACAGGTGAGTGTGTGTAGCCCCTGGGCAAGAATTGACTAATTCCCAAAACAGAAAAGTTGTCAAAAAAAAAAATCTTCTTTACGTACACTAACATGAGTTCAACTCAACCAAGCACGCACTCCATAGTTTGCTGCAAACTGGAGTGTTTATCCCTGTCGGTCACACTCGTAGTATTAAAGCTTGTTTGTGCACCAGTGTAAGTACGACTGCCTGCTGTTTAATGATAAGCTAATGCATTTGGACAACACAGAGGAGGCCTGTTAGCTTCGCGTTTGTGTTTTGGTGCTGCTGTGTGTGTACTCTGAATTAACGCAGCAGTTGCTGTCTAAGCTGGACTTATCCAGGCTGACATGGTTGTGTTGTCCCCTTGTCCTGCAGGCTGAAGCAGCCCGCTCTCAGGTCTCCTGATGGAAACTGTCACCCCTGTCCCATCTCCTCCACTGGGCCTGTGTGTGGATCTGATGGACACAACTATGCCTCAAAGGTACACCTCCATCCCCCACTTTAATTAACCTGTTAATGTCTAAACAATTAAATAATTGCCAGAAATTTAACATTTTTTGAAAATGGATTGTTTGCTAAACTGCCTGACAAATTAAAAACATTAAATAATAATTAAAAATAGTTTTAATTTGCATCATATTTGCTGTGTCTGGCTTTTATTCTGGGTTTTTTGGGAGGGGAAAATCACACCCATGATGTGGAATACTCCAAAACTGACAAAACCTAACCATATTGTACATATCGAATATGATTAATGAGTGGTTAAATGGTTAAAAAGTGAGATTTATGGTTGAATTTTATACATATAGTAAAGCAACAGTACAAAGTTGACTGCACTGAGCACCACTTTAATTTTTCCATGTGGTTTTACGTATATTAGCAGTGCTGTGACTGTGATGTGCACTTGAGCTCCTCTAATGTAGCTCGTTCCCCTCGGTGAACATTATTTCATGCTGATTCAACACATAAATTCCACTACTATATGCTACGTTGCTAAATAGCCTTGACAACTCTTGCAAATTTAGGTCATACAGATGTACACATACTTTTACACGCATCTTGAAATCCGTGGTACATGCTGTACGTGCTCTGCGTCGTTTGGTAAGAACCGACACACACCTTTGCACATTCAGAGCTAAGCAGTGTGAGGAGAATCTCAAGGGACACAAAGCTGAGACAAAGAGCCGTGATGTATGGCCTCAGAGGAACCAATTGGTGGCTTGCGGTGACAGAATCCCATGTGTTTATTGATTAATGCTTTGTCTTTTGAATCACTATTTCTGACCTTGTGTGCAAGTAAAGGTTGGGAAGCGCATTCAAGAGCAGGACTCTGATTTTGAATTAAGGCTTACAGTCGGTCACCTCATGAATATTTGATCTGCGTTGCGGCAATAACTCATTTCACTTCACCTTTGTGTCCCCTTGTCGATGTCATCGGTGTGTACGCGCGTGTGTTTAATGACTGTATGTGTGTTGCAGTGCAAGCTGGAGCAGCAGGCGTGTCTTACGGGGAAGGATCTTACCCTGAAGTGTTCTGGTCTGTGTCCTTGTCCAACTACTGCTCCTACAACCAAGGAGAGTAAACATGGTGAGAGCAACATACATGACATACAACTCATGTTTTGTTTTGTTTTATTCTCACACATCTACTCAAGCATAACAGCCATCATAACTGCATAAATAGGTGCAGCAAATATTTTTCTCTCCTGTACTTACACAGAGGGCTGCACTGGGCAGGATCTGGCTGATCTCGGGGAGCGTCTGAGGGACTGGTTCCAGCTACTGCAGAGTAATGCCAACCAGAACAACAACAGCAAACCCGGGGCCAAAGCCACTGCAGTCAGCACCACATCAGGTTAGCACTACTACTTAATAAACTCATTGCATGAAGATGGCATTTCAATGCTTTAGATGCAGGGTAGCGTACTATAAAATATCTAAGAAAGCCATTAAATCTATTTTTCATGTCTCATTTAAGACAAAGTTTGTTTCTGCTGCTGACAGTCGACACTGTAGCTCTTGGCTGTTTAACACTGTACATCTCTGGATCTCTAGATTCACAAAAAATAATTGATGCCTCATAAAGAAATAAACTGGATGCCTTCCACAAGCTATTTTCTGGTTCAAGGATTTGTAATCAGTAATCGTATCAGCCAATCACTATAATTAAAATAGTAAAAAGAAGTACAGCAGGAAAATCAAATTGTCCTGTTGGTGCCACTTGCAACCATTTGCCTGAAACTATCTTGGATGGATAGTGTAACATAACGCTGCATCACATACGGGAGGATGTTTATGCTTCAGGGTACAGTCAGAAAGTTGCAAGCATCAACCGGTGTTGTAAAGCTGGGAGAACAATACGTTATAATGCCATTTTCATTTGCAAAACTTTTTCTTTTTTTTAATGTTGAAACTGGCAGCACTGGAAGGCATTAGGAGGATGATAAATGCAGTTGATTTGCGTTGGAAACAGGAGATGTTTCTGAGCATGCTGGCGTGATTTTTTCCGTTTGTGCAGCTGTCCCCCTGAAAAAAGTCTATGTTTGTTTGTCTGCCTCTGTGTGTTGGCAGTGCTGGACAGGAGCCTGGTGGCCAGCTGTAAGGACTCCATAGGCTGGATGTTCTCCAAGCTGGACACCAATAGCGACCTGTACCTGGATCAGGCCGAGCTGGCTGCCATCAACCTAGACAAGTATGAGGTCTGCATTCGGCCCTTCTTCAACTCCTGCGATTCCTACAGGGACGGCAAGGTCTCCACTGCCGAATGGTGCCTCTGCTTCTGGAGAGAGAGTGAGTGTTCGGGGGATTATGTGAGGTCTGCAGGCTTGTGGGTTCGCACTCACTTGTCTGTATGCTGACATTTTCCCTTCTGGCACATGCAATCAAACTTCAAGGCGCTCGGCTGCCCTCGAGGTGTGGCTGCGTCTGTGTTGTGCGCTGGCCCATCAGTGTTTGTCTTTCTCCTCATCCTTCAGTCCCCCTATGGGCCGAAACGGTCACCGCAAGGCACTAAAAACATTTCTGCTGCTTGTTGACAGCCTGATTCTCCCACAGCTCTCGGAGATTGAGCGTGTCAGCCAAGCAGCTGAGCAGAAACTAGGTCCCAGGAATGTGCAGTTATTTATTTGGGAAGAAAGGGTCCTAAAGTACATGGATTACAGTTGCAGCTCTCTAAGATTTTTGTTATTTTCTCTCTTCTGTGACTAATTGTGCCTTTATTTCCACTTCTTTTAAGAACCCCCCTGCCTTGCTGAACTTGAGAGGATCCAAGTATTAGACGGCGGGAAGAGGAAGTTTGGTAGGTGCAGGGGGTTAGTCTCTGATCCCTTCTGTGGATTATAACATGATACGGGCATCTTTGTGTTTGTCTTACGCGTGCATGGTAAGAAGTAAAGAGGAGCAGTGTGTGATTATGTGTGAGTGTGCATGTGTGCACTGCAGATTTTGATTTTGGCTTGCTGACTGGGCTCTGAGTCAAGACTCTCCAAGGACACAGAGCGGTGAGCAGGGGACAGTCTGCCAGCCTGACGCGCTGACGTTCCCCCGAAAGACTGGATAGACAGTTCAGCCGTCCCTAATTATTATTTTTCATTACATTTACAAATGTATCAAAACACAATTAAGCGACACAACAGATCCGCCCAACTCTGAAGTTTACAATCAGGCAAATTTTTGCCTCACCGATAAACACAGCTACACTTAAGTGTGACCACAGGCTGCTTTTTATACGTCCTCCCTTATAACATCACGATAGCCAGCCACCCCCACATCACCTCAGTAAGCTGCAGCATGCTGACTTCCTCTGGGTATTCCTCCATGAACATATTGTTTTCATGGAATATAGAATTAGCCTCCACATATGCTGCATGCATTATATTGTCACTTGGGCTCATGTGTGATGAGCCGCACTGAGAAATTGTGCGAGATTGAAGGCGAGGCCGCTTTACCTTACTCGGCTCTTATTTATTTATGTGTGTGCGTGTAAATGGCAGGTCGATTCATTCCTAGCTGTGACGAAGACGGCTTCTACAGGAAGCAGCAGTGTGACAGGGGGGAGTGTTGGTGTGTCAACCAAAACGGAGGAGAAGTGGCCGGATCGAGGATTCGTGGCAAGCCAGATTGCGGTGAGTGTCAAAAGGTTTCAGATGCCGATAAAAAACAGATCGAGGATTCATGGCAAGCCAGATTGTGGTGAGTGTCAAAAGGTTTCAGATGCCGATAAAAAACAGATTTTTTGAACTTGAAAGCTGAATGCAGTGAGAGATCAGTGCAGATCAGCGCAATTCTGCACGTGTCCCCGCTGCATGCATTCTGCACAAGGCTTTCTTTATGTTAAGGGACCGAGGCCCACTGCAGCATAACTCACAGTAGGGACCAAGTGCCACATTCATGTGTCCGGAGTCATTTGCATTCTAAAGCGCCGCTTGTCGCTGTGAGAAAAGTCTTTCAAGATAAATGAGGACTGGTTGGACTGAACCTGTGCCTGATAAGAATAAGTCCCTTGGCAAGGTTTAGAAATAGCTATTAAAATCCAGACAAAGTCAAACACACGCCACCCCCCCCCCCCCCACCCCACCCCTATTTTTTTTGCCATTGCAGTCAGTGTTTTTAAATTGATTTTAGCATTTCTCACTGGCACAGAAAGGACTCCATCAAAACTGAGAGGAAGGCATGAACAGAATATATTGCAATGTGCAAGATGGCCACAGCGGATAATTCGATTTCTCTGCATCCCCCCCCCTCCCATGCCCCGTATGTTTTCTCTCCATCTTCCCGCAGATTACGAAATGGCATATTCAGGTGATTTTGGAAGTGGGGTTGGATGGGAAGACGAGGAGGAGAAAGAAGCTGAGGAGACTGCAGAGGAGGCTGAAGAAGAGGAGGTGGGAGAGGTGGATGACGGGGGATATATCTGGTAAACGGGCCAACCAATCTCTAAAGGAGCATCCCAGTGGTCCCAAACTTACACACACACTTATACACACAAATCCTGCAAAGAGATGGACGGGATCAAGCGCTCACACTCAGAACAACACTGGATTACAAAAACAGCAAAGGGGGGGGGGAAGTGGCACAAGTTGGGAGGGTGAAGATACAGATGCTATGGAAGTAATTCTTGTTACAGGATGATAAAGAGCAAGGGAGGGGTGGGGGGGATCACAGTTAACAAATTATGGGTCTGGTGTCATGAATTTTGTCCTTCATACTTGTGAATCTTTGTTCTCTTCTGTTGTCTGTCCTTTAAACTATCTTTGAGCAGTTTTTAGCTGATGCATAACGGAGACTTTAAGAAGCTGCAGGTGCTTTGCATTAAAATGAATAAAATAAACAAAGCAAGATCGGGTGCACTTCAGTAGTCCAAATTGGCGTCTTTCATCGATCATGTTTGCAGATTAACAACATTTAGATAACCAGTTTTGCTTTAAGGCAGAAATCTGGCAAAAAAAAAAAAAAAAGAAAAGAAAAGAGAGAAAGCCACATTAGAATATTGAAAAGCACCTTTTGACTTTGCCATTTTCATCTCTTATGCTTCAGCTCTTATGTGACAGTAGTGCTCTGTCTCATTCATGACTTAAGAAAAGGTTTCTCATGCGTCACTCTTTAGCTTGTATATATTGTGTGTATCAGAAGGCAGAATGTCACCTATTAGTCCCGTAATCAATGCCTTGAAAGACTAGCAGAACATGCTGCTTAGTTGACAAGTGTACATCGTATCATAGTGTGGATTGGTTATTGTGTTTAATAAAAAAATGGAATAAAATAAACGTATCTATGTGGCTTCAGTGGCCACCGTACAACTGAGTGTGTTCTCTTTTCTTTTCATGTCTAAACTGGAGCCAAAGCACCTTGTTCCCCGGCTGCACAAGGGGAGCCCAGCTCTCCATTTGCTGAAAATGACATAACATGCATTAGGGTTGACCTGAACACATTAGGAGTGTTAATGTGGGTTACCAGGAGATTGAACTTTGGAGCTTAGCACCACTGGAACCCTTGAACCAGCCACATAGCTCGTTTTATTTAGCGTTTTAATATCAACTCATTAACAGAACGGAGGGACTTTAAATTCACCGGTAAGCAAATATTGGGCTATCCTATATAACATATATACTAAATATCTATAGCACTGTGCAAAAGTCTTGAACCGCTTTTCATTCCTTTAATTTCCCAGGAAGCTGGGAACAGGGAAATAGAGTGTATAAGGCATAAGAGGAGTTTGTACAATTTTAATGAGCTTAAAAGTGAATAATTACTATGACCACTTTTAATCTTCAACACAGCCTAAACTCTCTTGGGCAAGTAGTCTTCAGGAATAGTTCACCAGGCTTCTTGAAGGATATTCAAAGCTCTTCTTTGGTTGTTGGCTGCTGTCAAGAAAGGTGTGATTGAAAGAGAGTACAAGGTCTTAAGATCCAGCATTTTATATTTACAGAGATACAAAATGCTATGACAGAGTTTATCTGTATTTGCTTTTGCTAATAGTAAATCATCTTTATTCTTAACGATATAATCAAAATATACATCTAATTAAGATGATGAATGTCTGTTCTAATGTCTGGATTTTGTGTGTGTAGACAGCTGTAACCTTGATAGATTAGTGTCTGTGTGTGTCTACAGGAATGTGAAAAGAAATGTGTCTCCAGCCCATCATTATACATGATTCTGAATAAGAGAAATGGTATGATAGTACAATTTTATGTATGTTTGTCACACTTAAATGTTTCAGATCAAATCAATTTAAATATTAGACAAAGACAAGGCAAGTAAATGCAGTTTCTAAATTAAAAAAGCGAACCTACAGGTTTAAAGTTTATATTTAAAATGTGACAAATAATATAAAAAAGAGGACATATGCGAATTTGCTGATAGTTAATCAGGTATAAGTTTAATTGATGTAACAAGTGAGAAAATATAGTAATGATTCTAGTGGCAGGCCGCTCACTGAGAGCTTGTGTGGAGATGCCCTTGGAGGCTCTATGTGTGTGTGAGAGAGGAGGTGGGGAGTGAGTGCAACACTGAGCAGCTACTCATCTAAAATAATGTCTGACTTGAACACATCTGATTCAATAAAAGACATTATACTGAGTGTGTTAACAAGGTACCAGTTTTTGCTTATGCTTAAATGATTCATAGGTTAGCATTAAGTATCTTGACAAAAAACATTCTTCTGAAAATATTCAGGTACAAGGACTGGATTGAGGATTGACAATGATGGGGGCGGGAAACAAAACCAGCCAGTGTCCAGAGAAAGACCTTCAGAAAGCCTGGAGAACTATTGACTGAGACCACTAAATACAATGAAAAAACACTGCAAATATATTTTGAAATGACACGTCAGCTAAGAAAGCCGACTTTCTGATGCATAGCTTTGACATTTGTTCCTTTTTTCCTGGAACATTGAAAAGCAGTACTCAAGTCTGTCATTTTCTGCTGTTTGTCTCTAAATCTGCTCTTTGAACAATACAATAAAAAACAAAAATAACATGCTGGTTTAGAAAGTTGATTGTATTCCTTTGCACCTTGTTAGTGTGAAAAAAATGGCAAATAAGCACAACATAAGTACAGCCGATGGGCATGATTAATTAGGCAAACGGTTAGTCATGAACCAGAGTTTTGGACAAAGGGAAATTTTGATTGAGACACTAAAAGAAGAAGTCAAATTTGATAAATGTAAGGGATCCTTTACAAAAAAGTCCTACAGCACTCTTACAATAAGTGTTTGTGTTTGTAAAAGAACATCTCATTTTTGGCCAGGATATCAGCGAGTCAATCTGGCAGACAGAAAGGTGCTTACGTGCATGACTGACGTCAAGAGGATGAAGCTTACTCAGCAAAGTTACCTTGCATGGGTTCATGATTTTGCCAGAATTCTCTGATAAACAAATTTACCTAAGACTGTGTTTGGATGAACTGCTTTTATTTTTTGTTTTACTTTTTTTGTTGTTGTCGTTTCATAATACTGACCTACATGTGTGCTCCAATACCCATATAACATCGATAAGTTGAAACTGTTAGATACTACATTACTCAAAAAAATTGCTGGAACACATTGAAAACACATCAGATCCCAGTGGGAAAACAATGCTGGATACCTGTACTGATGTGGACTGGGTAATGTGTTAGGGGAAAAAAGGATGTCACATCTTTTGATGAAAATTAAAGTTAGCAACATATACAGTAGGGGTGCAACAATATTCGTATGATATTGAACCGTTCGATACAGTGCTTTCGGTATGCATATGTATCGAACAATACAAATTTTTTAATTTATTTTATCAACTTTTCTTCTAAACATGCTGTCTGTGTTGAGCGCTCAGTGGATCTGCGTTCCACTACTCCGCCTAGGGTGCACTGTCAAGCGCAGATCCACTGAGTGCAGCGCAAGCTAGCAAAACAGAAGCTAAGCTCGTTGCAACATGGCAACTGCCTCAACGCTAGCTTGAATCTCCCCCACCCTCATTCAGATCTGGCGTTTGGAACAATTTTGGTTTTCATGTGAGCATGACCCTGATGGTAAGCGCGCCATGGACAAAAGTAAAACAGTATGTCGGATGTTCCACGCAATGCTCAATTACATTTGTAGGAACTAGTGCGTTAGCGCAGTTAGCTCGTTAATGTGTTGACGCTGTCCAGCCCCACGCCTGGGGCGATCTGCGGTAACTTGTTAACGGAGATTTGCGGCGTTATGGCGTTAATGTCATTTTAACGAGATTAACGCTGA